AATATCAATTCTGCCTGCCAGAGATGGGTTGCCCATTATCAGTTCATTTGTCATGGTGGAGAATAATCATTGATCATCGGGGAAACATAATACCAACATCTTTTCACTGCTGCTATTGGTGACCAACCTATGCTATGCGCCATTGGATATGGAGATTCTAACGTGACCAAATGTTGTTGCTAAGAAAAAAACATAACTCCATATTGGGATGTTTAGAACTGGAGCCTCACAATCTTTTATAATTAGGCAGGCGATAAAGCTCAGACTAACCAGAACTGAATAATCTAGTTTGAATAAAGCGGTCCTTTCATTTCTCCAGTGAAAAGAGTTATAGCTGATAGTGTGTATAAAAGAGCTTACAGACTCACCTGAGGGTCTTCGTCTTTCAGAGCACGAGAAGTTGTGTCAGTGTCAGAGACATCATCTGAGGATTCAATTTTTCTCTTCTGCTTCCGGCCCAAAGTAATTATCAATTTTCTGCGAGGATGATAAAAATACAAAAGTTACATTCAAAACATTTTATAAAATGTACTATACATTCACCCATAATACAGTCACTCTGTTTGTTCCTTCCAAAATCAGCAAGCAAGACCGCTGAATAGTTTTGCATGAATGTACAAAAAGCCTATTATTTGTTCCACAAGAGAAAGTCATGATATTGATGATCATGGTAGTACATGAAGCTTGAACAGTGGGGACAGGTTCCAAATTTCATAATAAACTGGGCATGAAAGGATAATTAAAATCGAACTATATCACTTACAAGCTACTATGTCACAAAAGTTATACACCAACATCAGAACTTTGGCAAGGTAAAATTCAAGGATTATTCAGTTTGTTTGTTTTTTTGCTAAGCCAAGTTATTACAAAAGAAAGCAGTTTTTGTGCCTAAATACACAAATCATCCTGTAGCAATGAAGGTTTGAACTGAACAACATGCTTTATTTTGTTGCTTCACCAACTCAATACTTATTGGTCTATTTATAATAGGATATTTTGTTCTCACCATAAAATCCTTTTCTCCGAGTTCATTGAAGGACACAGTGAAGATCTTGATCTCTATACCGATGGGGTATACTGCTACTTGCAGGAGTAGGATGCTGGGCATAAAAAAAAGAAGCTTGGCTCTGGGGGTGGCTCCTGCTGGTGGCCACACCCCCATCCACAGCAGCTCAGTTAGTCACAAAGCAGTAGAACTAAAGTCACACAAAAGACCCAAAGAAGGGAGGGTGCCATGTCCTTCAATAAACTCTGAGAAAAGGATTTTACGGGGAGTACAAAAAAATAAATAAAAAAAATCGAATTTTCCCTTTTGTTCACTTATGGACACAGCAGAAGAGATCTAGATCTCTGTAGCGATGGAATGTCTGAAAGCAGTGTCCACTGAGGGGGGAGGGGGCGGGGGGATTGAGCAAACATTGAACAAAACACCCTGGCTCACACAAACTAAGCAGCCGCCTGTAAGGCCCCGTTCACACCCGAGCGTTTTACCGCGCGTTCCTACGCTCGGTAAAACGCACAACAGGTGAAAACCCATGTTTGCCTATGGGCATGGTTCTCACCTGCGCGTTTTACTGCCCGTTCGATCGCGTGTTAAAACGCCATACGCCCAAAGAAGTACATGAGCTTCTTTGGGGCGTATTAACGCCCGTATACCGCTGTTATCAGCCAGATACCCCCTCGGAAACTTGAGTTTGATGCGCGTTTCTTTTGCCGCAAATCGCGGGGTAAGAAACGCGCGGCAAACGCGAGTTTCCAATACGCTAAAGGTGTCATCAACTCTAAAAGGAACAAATAAAAGGTATGTGTCGACGACCAGGTAGCCACCTTACAGACTTGAGAAAACAGGCGCTTGTTGAAAAGCTCATGAGGTGCTAACCGCACAAGTAGAATGAGCTATAACCGGAAAAGGTGGAGATTGTCCAAAAAGAGCACAAACCTGAATAACTTGTATGCACCAACAAGAATTGGTAGTTGTAGAAGCCTCTTCTTTCCGTGGGTCGTCAGTAATCACGAAAAAAATCTGACTTACGGAAAGATTCAGTAGCAGACAAAAACTCACACCGCCTTTACAATGTCCAGACAGATGAGCGCTATTTCTTTAGGATGCGTTGGATGCAACCAAAGGGAGGGTAGAATATCCTCATTGAGATGAAAGTCAAATACTGCCTTAGGAAGAAAAGAATGTCTAGGACAAATAATTACCTCATCTTTATGTGGTAACCTTTAAAGCAAACGAAAGGCTAAAATCTGAGCAACCGAAAAGGCACGAGGAGAAATACTAAGCTCCTCAAACCAAGAAATGTAAGCTTTCCACGTTCAAGGAAATAATTCCCAACATGGGAGACCTAAATGCTTTCAATAGCCATACTGTTAAAGCCAGAGACTGTAAAGCAGGATGCAAGATTGGACCTTGGGACAGAGAGGTCTGGTTGAAGAGGAAGTTAACTGGGCATGTCTACCACTAGGCTCACTACATCAGTGGACCAAGAGCGTAGAGGCCAAATGGGAGCCACCAGAATGACCAGTATCTCTTCAGGTTCCACTTGACGTAAAAGTTGTGGAAGAGGTTTTAGAGGAGGAAAGGCATAAATGAGATTGTACCTGTCCCACGGTGCCCCACCAAGGCATCTGTCGCATCTGCACACAAAGTTATTTACTTTCATGAGAGCAAGGGAACTGAGCAATCAAGCCAAGCAGGCTTTGACCATCCAGTTCCCCTGCATTTGTCTGTCCAGCGAAGAGGGTGACTTGTCCCATTGTTGAAGAAACTATTTCTACGGAATCAGAGCATGGTGTTGCGCACATGGAACTGCCTCAAAAGGAGGCAACTAATTAGACACAAAACTCTCATGCAAGTGCAAATAGTCACCCCTTTGCAAGAAGGCAATGCCTGAATTTGAAGCTGAAGCCTGTAAATTGTATCCAAAAAAAAAACTGAAAAAAAAACCCTGGCCTGATGTGTCCAGGATCAGTCTCAGATATTACAGGTGAAGAGATGGTATCAACGACGATTTTCAGGATCCAAACAAACCCGTAATCGGAAGATTCATATCCAGATCTGTCTGAGAATCTGCCGGAAGAAAGAAGATGTCCAAGTAAATCACCACCAATATCCCCCGCTGTCTCAACAAGGCGAGGACTAGTGTCAAGACTTTGGTGAATACCCATGGGGCTGAGACAAGGCCAAAACAGAAGGGCCACAAACTGAAACCGGTCCTCATGACAAATCAGAACGTGGACGTAAGTATCCTTAAAGTCTATGAATACAGAAAATCTCCCTGATGAATATTATTGATCACTGAGCAGATAGATTTCATTTGAACTTGCAGACCTTGACAAAGATGTCCAGGGCTTAGGATCCAAAATCAGACGATCCCCGTCTTTTTTGGGCACTGCAAAAAATGTTGAGACTATTCTTTGACTTTTTCTGATGGTGGAATTGGGACAATGACTACCATTTAAACCAGATTCATTACAGCTAACCATAAATCACATAAGCGAATTTGAGTTAACTGAAGGTTTAAATGAAAGAAGCGAGCTAGAGAAGAATTAAACAATTTTATATCCCAACAAAGCCATATCAGCAAATCCAGCTGTCTAAAATTTGAGACAACCACAAGTCCATAAAACAGAAGTAAATGTCCCCCCACCTTAGCCGGACAGGTGGGTGAAAGCCTTCGTTCAGAAGTAGTCTTCTCAGCAGACTTAGACTGCCAAGACCTCTTCTGGCCACTGGAGAAGCTGACTTTTTGACTTTTGTCTGAGGATCCTTGGGGTTGAAAAATTCAACCCCAAGGCCTCACTTACACCTATGCTCCTTACCTTTCTTAAGTTTTGTAAAAATGTACTCTTACCTAACGTGATTTTTACATTATATCATCCAGTATTGCCCAAGGAAATGATCAGCCTAAAAAGGTAAATAGGCAAGGGCTTTCTTAGAAGTCTTGTCAGATGACCAGCATTTAGGCCACAACATATGGCGAAGAATGAGAGCCAAAAAAGAAATTCTGGAAATAAGAGGTCCAATATCCAACGGAGGGTTACACACATATTGAAGACCATGAATTAATTAATCCACTAGTTCCGCATCGACAGGAGAAACATGTTCACTCTCCAGACTGTGAGCGTTTAGGATGTAAAGACTGTGGCCAAAACAGGACATAAGGCTGATCCAGGGATTGTGTACATAGACCTTACTACTGATTCCGCCTTCCCGTCCCTTGAATCATTGAAAGGAGATTCCTTGACCGGAATCACAGTAGTCTTATTCAGCTTAGACAATGGTGAATCTACAAAGAAAAGTGCTTTTGAAGTGCAAACCCCAGAAGGGCAGCTCCATTCTTTGCAAATAAAGTCTTACAGTTAGACTTATTTGTACCAAAAGGAACTGGAGCTTCCGAAGAAGCAACTGCAGAAACTTCAGTATAAACAAACTCCAAACAGTTAGTGTATTGGCTGGGATTTGAACCAGGGACCCCTCTGCTGCAAGGCAGAAGTGCTGACCACTAGAATACCATGCTGGCCTTCTTAAGGTCCTCAAAAACGAATGAACAAGTGCAGAGACCACTACTTTTCTCTTGTGAAAAAGTAGATGAAAAGTTTTCGCCATAACTAGCAGAGTGAGGTCGATCTGTCACCCCTATTTCCCCAGAAGATGCAGAAGTCCTTTGCAGGAATCGGAGGGTGTTGGCGATGGTGAGAAGCGCTTTATACTCTACTTTTTAGTAAACATTTTCTCAACATGTGGAACAAAAACTTCTGAAACAGAAGAGTTTCCATAGTAATAGAATAGAACTCAGGGTCCCAGAGCCTCCCAAAGCAGAATCTGAGAGTGAAGTAGGGGTCTACAAGGGAGAGGAGGCTAACTCTGACCGAAAACGCTCAGTCAGAGAGAGGAGATGGTGGCAGCCTGTTACTTCACATTCATT